TGTTTGTTGTGGGTGTATTATTGACATGTCAAAGTCTAGACCCTGAATATAAGACGACCGCGTTTTTTCAGATGTATTTCCAAGAAAAAAACATCGTCTTATATTCGGGACAATACGGTAGTTATAATAATAATAATAAATATAGTTGTTATTATTACATACAATTATTTATAGTGTATATCTATATCTATCAATCTATCTATAATTTTATAAATATTATTTTTGCTTTATATTTATATATTTTATTATTATTACATATATTCTGAATAGTAATAATATATATCATTAGAATTATTATTTATATACATTTATTGTTATTATTATTACTACAGTATACAGTATGTATATACATTATATAAATATTTTTTCTTTATGCTCAGAATCTTACCGTTTCACACAGTGTCATATTTGATCAAAACAATTATCATATTAATTAATTTGGCTTTTCACACATTAAAACAAGCTGACTGGTTCATTCTCATTTGTAATATGAACGTTAGTTCTTTAACAGAGGCTAATTAGGTTAAGTAAACAAATGTGACCGCATTATGAGCTGTTTGTTTAATTTGCTCACAAACATGCCTGACAGACAGACCGGTGTAAATCTAGAGATTTATTCTATTGCCTCTATATTTGTGCATTTAATATTGTCATAGTATAGTCATATCACATGTAAACAGATGCTGATGGTATCCAATCATCCCTCTCTCAATCCAACATGTCAGCAAATCCTCTTACTGTGATCTGTGTTCATACATGGCGCAACAGAAGCTTATTTACACAGCAGAGCATCTCATTGAGGTTTCTGTAGCCTACTTTAACGTAGTTTGTCATTTTGACCATTTAAAAATCATCTAATAATGCTATTGGGAGACATGGGTTTGATTCCCAGGGAACGCGAGGACTGATCAAATGCATACTGTACCTTCAATGCAATGCAAGTCGCTTTGAATAAAAGCATCTGGCAAATGCATCAATGCAAATGTAATTGTAAGTGATGCAGTTTAACAGCCACAGAATATTCCTAGAATTGCTTGAACTCCAGATGTCATCGCTGCGTCCTACATGTATGAACTGTACACCCGGATAAATATGTATTTAAAGGAAAGACTCGCAGTATAAACAGCCACATTCTCATATACAGCTGAGTCTCATGTTTCAGGTCAGACGTCGAGGAGCAGAGCCTCAAAACATTACATACACTCTCTGATTAGTCTGAAAGCCAAATATTTACCCGCTGTTTACATTTTCAATCCATAAGTGAGTAATTTTGAGTGTGGACACATCTGAAATGTTTCTCTTTTTCTCTCATTAGTGTGATGTATGGGCAGCATGTTTAAAGATTCATATAGAAACGATGGAGAAGCTTGAGGACGGCAGGGTTACGGCCACATCCTGCTGCTCTAGTGTAAATAAATAGATTTTCTGGGTTAGGCTAATATTAGAGCCATATTTCACCCGCCCAGACTGGATTCTGCACAGCCATAAAAAGACATCTATGAGCTCTTTAAAATAAGAGAGGATGTAAAAACAGTGTGTTTGATGGGAAAAGTCCCGATTTATAAAACGGAGAGTTCCGGTCCTTGATTCTGATTGGTTGAGCCGCGTTCCAAGCTGTTGTAAGTTACTCTACAAACATACACCTTTGTTTACATCTGTGTGTTGCTCGGCACCCACTTTGTTGGAACCACAACCGATTCTGAGGAACTACATTGTTTGGCGGAAGAATAATGTTTTTATTAACATCATTTCTGTCACGGAGTGACTGAGACGTGCAGATCCAAGTGCGAAGCTTTATTAACACAATGGCAAACAGGTATATTGATGGCAAGGCAAGAGGGATAATCCAGGTACAAGGCAAAGGTCCAGGCAGGGGCAAACAGTATCCGAATAGGGCAAGACGAGAGGGGGAATCCGAGATACACAGGCAAAGATCAGGACACGAGAAAACAGACAAGGCAAGACTAAGATAAGGCTATGAAAAACTAGACAGGCTCCGTAGAGTAGCTATCGCTATGAGAGTGATAAACACTATACAATACACGGCGATCTGAACAGGAACTGAGAGAGCATTAAATAGAGTGTGTAATGGCTCTCAGGTGAGCGTGTGATTAGTGACGGCTGTGTGATCAGTGAATTCAGCTGTGTAAGTGCAATGGATGATGGGAACTGTAGTCCGGAGTGACATGTAACAGTCTGTGTAGTGTGAGAGTCAGTGTAATGGTAGAATGACCTCCAGTGGCAATCGGCCGGAAGGCCACGGACCGGATTCGTGACAATTACACTTTATTTGCTTTGTTTTATTTTGTGAAACCTTGCTACGTATATGGAATAACTGTTTTATAAAAGCAGTGTCCCGTGAAGCCGTGGTTTACAGTGAATTTATAACAGCTAAGGGGGTTTTAGGCACTCTGCTTTGCGTCGTGTGTGTAATAACAAGTTTTCGCAAGTTATTACACATGCACCTGAATAATTATGTATGTAAATATGTGTGTTACAATTATGAAAACGTTTTTATAAATTGAGGTAAACAGCAAAGATAACAAGCTTTTCAAAATGAAAACAAAAAGAAAAGTAAAACTAAACTTGCTGTCGGTGACAGTGCTTGCTTTTTTTTTCTTTCCCCTCAAGAATACCAACATGTTCACCTTCTCTGGTTTAAGAAGCGGTCTTTTACATTACTTTAGCATGAAAACCAT